GTGAAAATTAGGGATATACCCTTGATTCAAGAAACTGTTGGTACTAATGTTACTCATTTACAGCAAGGAGGGTTCCATGGCAGAGATGATGCGATAAACTACAGGGAGCTTAGGTTAGATGGACAAATTAAATCAGGATTAAGCTGAATCGGATTAATCTTATTTGGACTGAATTAATTGCATTTGAATTGAATCAAATTAAACACAATTTAATTGATGGCATTCATAGCCTTTCAGTATGAAAATTAACTGTTAAAAAATTTGATGAACATATTTTAAAGTCACATGAAAAAGGACTTCTCATTTGACAATGTTTTGAGACACCCAAGGGAAATTAATTCTCGAAATGTTACTTTACACATGTCAAATGAATCATTCATAATGATATTGGTCCAGTATTGAGAAATACTCGATCGATTTTCTGTCATTTTTTTTTTCTACTAAAGAAGTTTGGGAGGCATAATGATAGTTGACATTTCCTGACTAGTTCCTGATTTACGGTAATTCGTTTACTCCTTAGAGTTGTTACAGCAAATAGATAAGAATGGCTTTTGAGCTTACATATCCTCAAAAACTTTCGCAGTTTTTCTGTCGTAGGAAATGATGCCTCTCTTTCTATATGCTTCTTTTCAATTTTTTATATTTCTAGTTGATATTTTTCAACCGATATGTTGTTGCAACATTTGCTCGTACTATCATTTTCATTATTTATGACAGTGAAGTGTTGTTTACCAAAATGGCGGACAACTTATAAAACAAGTGAGTATGCTTATTGATTGACCGATAATCATTTTAACAGATGTATTATCAGGCTTCCTTCAGTCTAGTTTTTGATCTTTGGATTTTATATTATCCTCATCTTCTATTGCACTATTCCACTTGCACTTAGATCGGAATTTCCGGAGGTTTTGGAAATCATTCCAGATTTTGGCTAATGGAAAAAAAATTATTAAATCTTCCGTTGAGCACCTCTATTTCATGAAATTCGCTGAAAATTCTTTGACCTTTTATGTCTGAATATTTTCAACTGCTAGGAAAGTTGTTTGCTGACCATAAATTTCCGTCGATTGACTTTCATTATTTTAATCAGTATTTTATCCTTAACTTTAGCCATCAAAAGTAAGTACACATAATCTATTTGAAATGTTTGTATTTAAGCAGTGATGTGCAAAACAGCTTTGGATTGTCCCCAGAAGGAACCACATGTTTGTCAGAATGGAACTTGCATGTCTTATGATACTATAACTCATCGAAAAAGTGGTAAAACTGAAGATAGTTTTATATCTGTAAATGATTTGCTTTTTAAGTTGACAAATTCTTTCGTGAAAGGTTTTTTTAATAACAATTCATTTCAGCAAAAATGACCAAAGTTTGCTCAACATTCCTGGATTGTTCACCAGGATTGATATGTATCAATGGGCAATGTATCAGACAATAATACAACCTGTTTTTATACAATGAACAATTTTGAATTACTCATTTCATTTCAAAAATTCGAGGAAGATTTTATTGTAAGATAAGGGAGAAGAATCTTTGGTAAAAACAAAAAAGAAATTTTAAAACGTATCTTATTTGCTCCTTGAATTTTTTTGATGCTAAAAGATGAGATTTTTCGAAATAAAAAATTTGTTTAGATGGTAAAAGGTAAGTTCTACATTTTACATCCTGTTCAAAAAGTTTCTGAACTTACACAGAATAAATGCATCGAATTGGGATAGATTTGAAGTTTCAATTGTAAAGCGATTATGAACTCAAAACGCAAGAAGGTAATATTTGAAAATAAGTGACATATAATTGTGGAGAATGTATGATTTTGCAAAAGGATGTCATACTGTATAAACAATGGTACTAAATTTTCATTGAATAACTAAATAAAATTTGTATGTTAATCAAAAAAATAAAAAGAACTAAATGACTGAATTTGCCAGCATAGTGCACAGTATCAACTTAATGAACATTAGTGAAATATTGCATATCAGTTTGTGTGTGTTCCTCCATACTTCAGCCATTAAATACTAAAAATGTTGTAAAATCAAATTGAAACTTGAATTTTATAAATTTGTAACTAATGTTCGTTAATTTGCATATTTTGATAATTTTGCTTTCTTCAATTTCCTATCAGCGCTTTTACGAAGTTACATCTCTATGAAACTAATCGATGCAACCTTTTAAATTAACGCTTAAGCTGCTTTTGATAATCGCATTTAATCATCTCATACTTTTTTGATTTTACACAATAAATTCCCATTCCTGAATTCAATTTACGCGTATGTTTAAGCATATGTTTACAATACATTTCGAATTTTTTTTTTTTTTGCTTCATTAGATTTGTGCTGTAATGATGCTTACCTATTGCTACGATTTAAGCCATTGTGGCTCAAATAGGTACATAAACGTCATTGTGAAACAAAAAATTCAAGCAAAAAAAAAAAAGAAAAAAGTAGGCTATCAGGAGAAAGAGTTACAATGCCACGTATTAAAGGATTGTTCCATTTTGCATATTTTAATGGATTCGAAATCATCGAAAAACATTAAGCAAAACCTCCTCGCAGTAATCGTCTCTTTTATCATTACGCAATATTCTCATTTCGAAGTTTTAGAAAATTACAAAAAACTGAAAGCTTTGTTGGCCTAGTCCACTCCACAAATACAGACTTCTCTGATTAACTTCGTTTCATTCTTGAAGAATTTAATTTAAAAGAGGGTTAGCATTTTTCAACTGAGAAGTAGAAAAGTAGAAAAGAGGAGTGACAAATGCGATGGATTTAGGATGAAGGGATGTTGTTGTTGGTTGGTTATATCATGATCCTTTTTCATTTACCTTTATTATACTGATGATTTAATCATCGAAAGAAATCTTTCAAATTATATAATCTCCAATTCAACAATTAGCTCTAAAACTGATTGACTTTTGTTGTATTCAATGAAAGTCTTCATATGGATTATAGGGTTACAATGTCTTGAATTATTTAGAACCACATAACATTTATTTTGATTGAATTTAATCGTCTCAATATTTGTCCTTAATTAGATATGCAAATCATGTTAAAGTGATCTTTCGTCTGAACCAATTTTGATTTTCTCTTAGTTGAAATTCATTCGAAAGAATTTTTGTCAAAACCTTTGCTGTCAAAGATATAACTAGCGATACAATTCAATAAGATCATGGGATTTTCTATAGATCCTCATCGAACCCCATGATGCATGCAGGATTATGAAAGTATTAGTGTCACATGGCATCTATCAACTGCTATAACTCGCATTCTGCTTGCTTCTCTTACCAATAAACAATTGTCCTTCTTTTTTTGGGGTAATTAAATTTCAGCTAATTTTATCCCACAAGCATTGTTTCAAATCAAATTATCCGCTGGTTGGCGTTCTTCCTGTTTTGGATATTCCCATTCTGATAAAATTTGAAGTGCCAATTTTATTTTAAATTTTGCATTTTATTTGCATGCGCTTTATACACAGTATTTCATCAGTATTAAAATCCGAATTTAACAAATTTCGTTTCTAATACTGCAAGTAAAAATTTTTGTTACTTCAGAAGCAATTAGCAATAGCTAAAGCAATAAGGCATGAAAAAATTGGAAGTTTGCATAATAGCTATCAATTTCTTCCTATTCAACAAATTACCAAAAGAGTTTCAAATTATGCCGCCATGGAATTTAAATTTAGATTTTAAGCAATATAGAAATGGCCAAAAAACTAGGCTGAAGTTGAAAATTGTCTTGATTCCTCTAGTGACATTCTTTCATAAGCCTAGTCATAGTGCCTATTACTTTTCTGAGCTATTTCGATAGATGTAATCAGTTACTTTTCCCTCGTGGAATTTGGATGGAATTTTCTTGCAATTAACTCTCATTTGTTGTGCTTCAGCTCTCTGTCTCTCTCTCTTCTTTCATCAAAAAAAAGATTTTAAAATATATTCTTTGAAAACTTGAAAAATTATTTGGATTTAGAAGTTTATCATTTTTGTGCTATTTCTGAAATAGTCATAGGTATGAATATTTTGAAACAAAAGGAGGCTCTGTTCAAAATATTTAGATTATTCCATCATATTTTGAATTCTCTTCTTTGCTTTCTCTTCCAAAGCAAATAACATTTTTGGAAATTGCACTTTTTCCAATATAATCACTTTGTAAACATTACAAATAGGCAGGGTATTCACAGAAATCATTTCAAAGTAAACATTTTTGAATTACATTAAGTCTTTTTTCTTTTTTTTTAAAGCCTAAAATATCTTTGAAAAACAGTTTTTGCAGAAAGTTATTTTCTATTTTTTTCTTTCTGTTTTCTTTCAAATAAATTTTGAAATTGAGAAAAAATTTGAATAAATATATATGCATTCAAGTATCTTCACGAATATAATAACTTCGAACATTTTTCATAAGATACACCTTCTGAAAGAAAAGCGCTACACCAGTGTGATGTATTTCACTAATTGCTGTAAAACAAATGCATTTTAATTTTATTGTTAATTAAATTTGTGAAATCAAAATGAATTTTGACATGATAATAGCTATGCTAATAAGGTAGTATTAGTAATCAAGCAATTAAAAGATGGTGGTAGCAACAAGCGCAAATGTTCTAGATGAATGGTAGCAACAGGCTTAAATGTTCTACATTAGTGTTTGAGATAATAAAAGGAACACTATCAACGATTATAGTACTACTGAAAATAATAGTGGTGATAATGGTGAGGGTAGAAATGTAGTATTAACAACAATAATGATAATATTAGCAGTGTAGTAATGTTAATAGTAGCTACAATAAATTACTGTACTGCACTTTTGTAGTAATATGCATAGAAATCGTGTTTAAAACAAATACCGTAAAATTTTCAAAGCTTATTCAAAGTTTTTGAGAATTTTCATGTCTTATGATTCATAAACATTACATCATTCATGTTTGTCAACAGTTTCTAAGATATTCAAAATTAAATTCATTTCCTGTGCAACTAATCAACAGGATATTCCAAAAAATTTTTCATGACAGTAGTGTCATCTGATAGATGCTCAAATCCCTTCCCAATTTTCACATCCTGACTAATTATTAATGTCATCATTATTTCCTGCATAAAAAGACCATTACTCACGATATAAACAGTAACCACAATATAAAGACTTGAAGCAGAAAGTAAATGCTAATTAGTGTTTTTGTAATTACAAGTTTACTTCTGATATTTTAGATTAGACATCTTTTTTTTTGAACTCAAATTGTTGAATGAAATAGAAGGCAAAATAAATGACAATATTTGAATGAAATTTTTGCCAAAAACAATCATTTTTTTCTTTTTATCCAATTCTCATTCTAACTTATCAATGAGTACATTTATCATTCAATAAGCATTCATTTTATTGCCATTACTATATACTATAGCAAAATAAAGTGCATTTCATTTTTCATTCCAAATATTCTTCCTGCAAAACATTACATCTCATTGGAACACTTATTCCATTTCCATTTTTTTTTTTTAATTACTTCAATCTTTTAAATACTTCATAAGCACCTTTTCTTATTGGACATGCTATTAAAAATACTTAAGATATGATTAAAATGGGTTGGCTCTTATGAAATATCAAAATCAGTTTTGAAATGGCAAAAAAAAATGCAAGTACTTAATTTTTTGCTCGGCAAATGGCGGTATTGGACTCTCTGGACAAGCGGTATTGGTTTGTTTCTCTTTTGCATATTTGAAGTTGACCAATTGATCTGTGAAAAAAGGACAAAGTATATTGTGATTGTTATTGTTGCTAGGCAACTTAACATTCATGTCACGTTTACAGCTAAGACAGTTGATGATATCATGTATTACAGTGGCAAAATTATATTAATTGAACTTATCGTATTTGCTAACTTAGCAACTCACACTTTATGGGAAACCTTAATATGCTTTTACTCAGAACTCTAATGAATCTTTACCCATAACTCTCATAAACTTTTACCCTTAACTTGATAAACCTTTACCTATAATTCCAATAAGCCCAAGTTTAGGACTAAACATTGTCGAACTTTCTATTTGCTCACCGAAATACTAATCAGAATGTTTTCAATCTATTGATCTTAAGGGTAAATTAGTAAAAAATATTCAAAAGCCTGAATCATCGGATTCGTTTCTCATCCAACTCTTCACTTTACAGATAAATAGCTTCAATCTGTGCATTTCTACTTCCTTCTCTATACTTCATAACTCTCATCCCTTTATTTGATATTTCACTCATCAATTTTCCTTTCGAACATTATCGTACTATCTCATTGCTCCGAACAAATTTAAGGACATTAGCAGCATTTCGTTAATTCAACAAATAGTTTTGCTACTTTCGATGAATCACTAAAATTATTTAAAAAAAAGAAAAAAAAAGCAAACTGCTAATTCTCTGTTACTTTGCAAAATTTCTAATGCATGAAATATAAAGAAACAAAAATAAATTTCTTACTTTTCAAGGATTATTTAACTGAAATAGATTAAACGAAAACTGGACAAATGAGAAATAGTTGATTTGATAAGAAACTATCTCTTCATTTTAATCCACATTTCATTGTTGAATAAATCAAATTCTGATATGTACAAGGGAAATATTTCCATGTATCTGACTAGATTCATTTCAGCTTTCGTAAATGTTTTTCCCCAGGGAAGATTTGTTTTTTTTTTTCTTTTCAGAAAAATCAAACTTGATATCCTCCAAGCTAATTTATATAGCATGGGAATATCTTATGTTGACAATGATAATATCGAGGCTGTTTTGTATTTTCAATGTATTACTGTTACCAATGCAACAATGCCTTACGCAAACTAAAAAAGCGCATTGATCTTTCGAAGAAATCAACATTTTTCATTGTTGACCTTTCGAATGTTGCAAAAGACGCTTGGAACATTTTCACTTATCATCTTATCAGTTTTTTATCTTCATCTTCATGTAACTGATAAAATTATTTTACCTTCATGTTCTGTACTTTGCCTGACGTTTAAATTAATAAAATTGTTTGAAGCGCAAAAAAATATTTTGGTTTGTAACTTAAGTAAATTTGTCAAAGCAGAAAAAATGAAAATATCCTATTATACCGGAAAAGTTCAAATCTATTTGAACGGTCGAGGGAGAAATTTCACTTTTCAAAAAATTACTGCAAAAATTGATTGCTTGGAAATAAACTGAACGACACTTCTTTTATTTCCCGGTCGCTTCTTAATATTTTTGTCAAAGTAATCATTTTAAATATTCTGACCCTGCTTCGTTTCATTTAATGTCAATAGACTAAAGCAACTAATTAGATGGGACTTGTCGCATTATCGCTAGAAACAATATCAACACTGCAGATGAGGAAAAAATTAAATATAATTAATAATTAGCGCATTCACTTAAGTTGTATAATTGGGAAGAGACTTGAACATTTAAAAATAAAAGAATAAGGATATTTTCAATTCACATCGCAATGAATTTGTTTTTGTTTTTCAGTACTAAATAATAAAGACAATAAATGCAACTATAAAATAATTAATTATTTGACCAAATTATTTTCTGATTTTAAATCGATTTTAAAATTATTGACTTGCTAGAAATGATATTCCAGATGTAGCTGCAACACAAAATGATATGATGACGAAGAAACAGGAATCATTTTCAATTCTTACTGAATTCGATTACTCATTTACCGTTCGTTTATTAAACTTTACTTCTTGATACTACACATACACTAGAAGAGAATAATGGAATTTACAATGGGTTCGCTCATATAATCAACTTTTGGGAAGAGTATTCATATACGTAATGTAAAACGTAGTTCCAATCACTAAGTGTCTTTTTAATTAACTAATTTGGGAAGCTTTATTATCCCTAACCATCCCTAACCCTAACCCTAATCATCCCTAACCCATAATCATTTTTTTTTTTCAGGTGATGTTAATTGGTGATAGTTGCTGTGGTAAAACCTGTTTGTTGATCCGATTTAAAGACGGAGCCTTTCTAAACAATAATTTCATTTCCACTGTCGGAATTGATTATCGAGTTAAAATGCCATCATTATTTACATTCATTACATATTATTTTATTTCATAAATCGAAATTTAGAATTGCAGAAAATAGCTGAAATGAACGCTCAATTAGTCATTTATAAACAGTCACAGTTTTAACAATTAATTTTCAACCACAAAAGTTTCAATTATTTAATTTCTATTTCAGAATAAACTGATCGAAGTAGACAATGTTAAGGTTAAGCTACAAGTGAGAATATTTTCCATTTCATCATCTTTTTCTTTCATTTTATTTCTTTAGTAAGTGCTGTAAAATAATAACTATAGCTAGAAGTTTGCTCTGATACTTTGCCTACAAATTTAACAAAAAGTTTTAGTTCTTCGCAAAAAATATTTTTAAAAATTTTACGAAAAATGCGTTTTATAAACATTCATTTCTTGAATGGAACTTTTTTCAAAAATACAAAAGAATGTATAAATATGTTTTGAGAAGAAAACAAAACAAATCGGCCTATCTCTTTTATCTTTAATGCTGTCATGTTATTCAGATTTGGGATACAGCTGGTCAAGAAAGATTTCTTGCGGTAACAACAACCTATTATCGTGATGCGGATGCTCTTCTGCTTGTATATGACTTAACAAACCGACAAAGCTTTGTCAACATTCGAGTAAGTCTGAGAAATGCATGCAAAGGTTTGTTTGCAATACGACGTAAATCAGAATCATACACTAATCGGCATAAAAGCATAAAGCCTTAAAAGGGAAAAAATTGTTTTTGCGGTAGGTTGATCATAGGACTAATTTCTAGGATTGGCTTGCACGAATTAAGGAAAATGCTAAGGAGACCGTGTTGATAACCCTTGTGGGTAATAAAGTGGACTTACAAAAGAATCGAAAAGTGAAATATGAAGAGGGAAGACAACTGGCTGAGGTTTGTTACGTATTAAAAACGATCAATTTAATGTTTCGAATTATGAAAAAAATTCAAGAAAATAACTTCTATGTGATCAATCAATTAGTACTTCTTGATTATAATGCAAACTATTATAATTATAATGAAGGCAGATCTCATAATGATAACAATCTTTTCAGGCATATAACATTGCATTTATAGAAACAAGTGCCAAAAGTGGTCAAAATGTAAAAGAGACATTTCAGGAAATTGCAAGGTTAATTTTCTGCAAGTAATATATTACTAATATTAGGCGATCCTTGTATAGCAAATATCTATACTGACTCATCAAGTTTGACAAATTTTTTTTTTTGCAGAAAACTTGTCAAGATGCAAAACGGTGAAAGTGTAAAAAATAAATCGACAATCGAACTTGTTGGCACATTGTCAAAGAGGTCTTCCTGTTGCCTAACTTCCTGATTATTCGGTTGTCTTGTTCCACTGACACAATAATAATAATAATAATAGTAATAATAATAATAATAATAATAATAATAATAATAATAATAATAATAATAATAATAATA